TTTGCCGCTGCTCTTGGCTACCCACAAGAACTCAGTGGTAAGACATTATGGCTGAAGATACTGCATACAGGCGCTGTAAAACAAACAAGGAGAAATCAAGCTGGCGCTGACTTTGAACTTCATCTCTACTGGCGAGTGGTCATGGTGCTGGAAGGTGCTATGCACACTACTGGAAGGAAAAAACAATCAATTTACCCACCTGTGAATCCTGTGACCTACAACAACTGGCCTGGCAAGATATGCCCACTGAGGCAATGGTGCATGAACATTATGTGAGTGGAAAAACACTCTAATTTGATTGGAACTTCACTTCATAGGATGGAGCCCGTCCTGTGAATCCTGTGAACTACAACAACTGGCCTGGCAAGATACGCCCACTGAGGCAATGGTGGCATGAATATTATGTGAGTAAAAGAACACTCTCTAATGTGATTGGAACTCCACTTCACAGAATGGAGCCCATCCGTGACATTGATATGACATCTAGAAACATATGGCTAGACTGACCACAGAATATAGGGCAGATCCCAATACGAGTTTTGTACTAAATAGTTATTGTGTCAAACTGACTCCGAATGATTTATTGTTATACCCGTAGACTAATGCATCTCTCAACTCTCACCTGAGAAGTTTCATTATGTAGCAGGCCTCTAGAAACATATGGCTAGACTGACCACAGAATATAGGGCAGATCCCAATACAAGTTTTGTACTAAATAGTTATTGTATCAAACTGACTCTGAATGATTTATTGTTATGCCCGTAGACTAATGTATCTCTCAACTCTCACCTGAGAAGTTTCATTATGTAGCAGATGGTGATTAACAGAGAAACTCACAACTGGCCAATGTGCAGAGAACAAGAGTCTGCAGAGTGCTTATCCCTGAGTAGGATACCTGGATCAAAATTCTGTCTCCCAAGTCAGGAACTCACAGCAATGGTGACAATGTGCACAAGTCCCATGCAAGCTCAAACCAGACAAATCCCAGCACAGACATGAGGAGGTAAGAAATCCCAACACAACCTAGGGAGCTTATCACATAGATTTTTATTGAAATTATTTTGAGTTCACTTATTAATTTGGGAAGGACTGTCATCTTGACGCTATTGATTGACACATTCCATTCAGGACCACACTTCATCCCTTCATTGACTGTGGCCATTCTTCATGGCATTCAGTAAGGTTTGCCCGTGGGGTAGGGGACGAGATCTAAATACCATCAAATTATAATTGTGAAAATTGCAAAATTCAATGAAAGTTTTTTAGAAAGAACATACATATACATGTTCTGTACGTGAACTAGATACTAGTTATTGAAAGACTACTCGTAATTACATCAAATATCTCCTAAGTCTTTCATGTACATGTCTATGAGTTTCTGACAGGTTGCCCTATACCACAGTCTATTTTCACACATCACATCTCTAAATGTCATAAGATGTTTCCCTTTCAGGGAAATCCTGGGGCCAGAGACATGGTTCAGCAGTTAAGAGCACTGGGTTGACCTGGGTTCAATTCCCAGCACCCACAGGGCAGCTAACAACTGTCTTTAACTCCAGTTACAGGGGATCTGATGCCTTCTTCTGACCTCCATGGGCATTGTACGACATGGGTGCACTTACATACACGCAGGCAATACACTCATGCACACAAAATTTTAAAAATAATGTTAAAAATAAAGTAGGGCTCCTTGTAGATAGATTGATATAAAACTACAGCCACTGTCAAACTGTTTAAACTACTGGCTCATTGACAACGGGGTTAATAAAACCTTCAACTCAGAGCGCAGTGTGAAGACAGCAAAATAACCCACCACATAAATTCAGTGTAAGCATACACAGCAGGTGTGTCCTAAGCAAACAGCAGAGCTCAAGCAGGCGGTCCGCCAGGCTACTCACTGGTGTAGGTGAGCTGGAAGCCTTGGGCAGTGTCCGACCCGTTGGTGTTGAACTCCAGCCGCAGGTGGTTGGAGGTGCTGTTCAGCACCAGCCCCATCAATTCCTTTTTTGTGAAGACTCCCAGTGACCTTGAGGAGCTATCCTTCCCATCGTAAACCTAGTGGAGGTACAGAGAGTGAGTCCCCTATTCCATAAGTGTGATGTTATGGCCCCAAATTTAACAAGCCCTTCAAAACTTTAAAGAAGGGGCTTCAAATAAAACTCCCAAAACTTAATTTACAAAGACAAGATGGATAACTCAGATGATCAATTTTTTTCCATTATACCTTTGTCATTAACACCGCAGACAAAAGGTTCTGGGTTTCATTTCTGTCCTGAGAATTTCCCATTCATTGCTAGGATAGGCAGTTTTCATTTGCAAAACTTTAAAGAAGGGGCTTTAAATAAAACTCCCAAAACTTAATTTACAAAGACAAGATGGATAACTCAGATGATCTATTTTTTCCATTATACCTTTGTCATTAACACTGCAGACAAAAGGTTCTGGATTTCATTTCTGTTCTGAGAATTTCCCATTCATTGCTAGGATAGGCAGTTTTCATTTATTTAAAATTAAATACCATTTGTCTGTGCACTTCTGGGTTCTACTATCCACTCTATCATTTCCCTCATCATCCCGTGCACAGGTGGTGGGTGAACCATCAGCACCCTGGTCTCCTCGCTCCTCTGTCTGAATGCCCTCAAATGTAGCAATGAGGACTCATCACATCTGTGGTTCCGGCATGTGCATGTGTTGTGATAAAAGTATCTCGTCACACAGCAATGGCAGGGAGATGCACAGCTTGCTGAAATGCTTCATATGTCCTGTTATTGCAGAGCGCCATGAAGATGAGCAATGTATTTGTAGAGCACCCAGAGCTTGGCTCAGAACAGGTGTTTGGGACAAGGCATGGTTGATGTGTGAGTTCTCACCTCTGGGGAGTCAGGCCACACAGGGATACCCTGGACGTGGACTGTGTCGGACAATTGCAGGACACCATGACGTACCCCAGCCCACAGAGCTTCCTCTTGATAGCGAGAAGCCATCTTGATGTTCTGGTAGAAATGAGGATGGGCTCCCAAACTCCAGGGCTGCTGGCTCGCTTCACGGGACCAGCTGACTTCTTTGTGTCCCTCACCCAAAGAGGAAAACCACCAGGATGACGGCTTCTTTGAAGTAGGTCTAAAAATCTATTCCAGAGTACTGAGGAGCACTGTGTTTCTTGATGCCAACAGACTAAGGTCATCAGAGACTTCCACACCTTCATCAGTCATCAGTCACTGCCGTCCCTCCTCCCAGAGATGAACTTTGGTTGGCCCTGCATCTCTCTTCTATCAACGCATAAGCACATATTGTTCAAAAGACTTTTGTACACCTAAATTTACTAATAAAAATTTCAGAAAATGACTAACAATTATTTTATCTCGTTGCAATTAAATATGCAAATTCTTAAATAGCAGATTCAGATATGATTTCATTTCCTTACTGAAAAGCATTGTCACAGGCTATTGTTTTAGAAATAACCATCGCTTTAAAATGTAGCCCCATTAGATATAACGAGAGTTCTGGCATCCAAAATAACAATGGGTTTTATGTCCAAAAGAAAATGTCCAGGTCCCTCCAGAAAGCTCTCGGCCCCTTCCTAGTCCAAGATTTTCTATCATGGACATGCAAAGAGAAATATGGGGTAGAAACCAGGGACACATGAGGGAGCCACTGCTTGGTGTTGGACCAGCATCTGTGCAGGGCTGGATGGGCTCCTTCACTGCCCTCAGTAGCTCACTCCCGATGGCTCCTGTGTACACTACCAAGCAGGAAAAGCTCGTGTGGAGTCCCACCATTTCAGAGCGATGGCTCTACCCAGGTTGCCAGCACTTAGTTCTGTCCCTGTGATAGGTACTGCTGGTGAACACGCAGAAAACAAGCTCTCCATTGACCCCCAGAGAGATCCTGGCACTGGCCAACTTCAGATGTGAAGACGTGGACTCAAGTTTTCCATTGCTCACACAGGACAGTCTGACAATAGTGTAAGTCAGAGACTTGGGTTCTGGTGGCTGCGGGGCAGACATGGGCTAAGCTTGTTCTCAGTGTCTCTTGCCTGGAGCGCCTCGGCCACCAGCATCTAGACTCAAGGTGCCTTGAAGTTCTTAGGAAAAGCCTCCTGAGGCCTCCTGCTCCACATAGTGTGGTAGAGATCTGACAGAGAATATTCCTCAGATCTTCTCATGTAACTGGTGCTATAGACCCCAAGGATCCTTGGATCGGGTTGGACACACTACAAGGAACTCAGGAAGACAAGTGTGGAGTTCTCAGGAAACGTCTGCCGGCTTCCAGAGCTGTGCTCAGAGCTCCTTCAGAGTGACCTGCTCTTCCCAGGACTCTTCCTTCCACAGCACTTTTAGAAGAAGGAATTTCTTCTCTGTTGTTCGTGTTTAAGCGCCTGCCTGATTTGTGAATAAAATCTCAGTCCTCATCACTGATTCACAGGATATGGGAAGGGCCAGTCTGAACAGCATGTGTGGCTAATTAAGATAATTTAACTTGAAACTGATTATTTAACACTGGTGTATTTATTAGCAAATTCAACAAAATGTGAGAAAAATGCTTAGGTATTTTAAATGACAGACAATTTTCCTGCAATGGAATGCAGTAAGCAAATTTTCTTTTTACTTTCTTTAATTAACAAGTTTCAAAAATGGACATGTCCTTCCTCCCATTCCTTCAATGTTCACATATTTGATGCTGTGTTTCTAATCACACACTCACATTAGAATATAGTTGTTACCTGAAGCCTGTTTTAAAGGTATACCAACTTCTAAATTAGTGGTTATATCAGAATTGATGAGGTTCCTACTTATGCCCTAGTGTTTAGTTTAGTAGGACGCTAGTTGTCTGACTGAAAACCATCCTCGTTATAGTCCTAAAGCTGTCAGCGCGCACTTTTAAACGACAATTAACGCGCAGGACTAAGGAGATCAAAGCCGTTCAGATAAGTGTGACACAGAAAACACGCCCGTGCTGTGCACGGGCAGAATAAGGCTGGTTATCATGTCTCTCGGCCCCTGCAGAGCTTCTCATGAGGTGAGTGGAGCCCTGGGGAAGGTATACCAGTGAGAAGGCTGCCGCTTTCTCCGAGGGGCTTGTTGCACAGCCACAGAGCTTAATGTGAGTTGAAGCATCTAAGAGGTTCCCTTGCATGGGGACGTGTAGCTGTGAGTAAAAACCCTGGAACCTAGGGAAGGACAGGAGGGCATCAAAGCAGTGCGCGTCAAAGCAGTGCGCGGATGACACAGATCAACTTGATGACCTGGCAAAGTGCTCCCTTCTTTCCAGAAGGAGCAGGTGGTAGATTGCCTGGCTTATGTCCTTATGGCCATTTTGTTCAAAGCCTTCTCTTACAGTGTCTTGGGATTGAGTCTATCCATGTCTATCCTGCCCTAGGTCCCAGAAGGCCCCTGATTTCTTGAAACAGTTACAGGTGATGAGGGAGCCTTATGAAAAGCCTTAAAATTAAATATGCTTCCACTGGAGCTGTGCTGTAATCACTCAGGCAGGACCTCGTCCCCAGCGTGCTGTGTCTGCTGAGACGCCATCTCATCCTGCGTGTGTGGACAGTGGCTGGGCTTCCTTCCATCACTCCCCCAGGTTCTTCCCATTCTAAGACTGCTTGATGAAAAAAACAACTAGGGAAAAGATTGGGAGAGGGCTCTGTAAGTTATAAAACTTGGTATTATGTAGTGCACATAATACTGGAAACATCCACAACGTCATACCACTCGGTGCCAAAACATCCAGGAGGGCCAGAGTCCTGGAAGGTTCTCAACAAACCAGGAAGTCAAGTATCTGCCCAAGATCCATGACTTGTCAATGTAGATTTGGGGTGATAGAGAAAGTGATTTCCAAGTTTATGCAGATTCTATCAAGTGGCAAAACCTCACAATGTCTCCACTGATAAACAGGACTACGAAATATGTAAATAAAGGTATATTAATATGTATCTATGTAAATAGGCAGGCAGGTAGATGAGTGGATTGATAATAGAAGATATGATGAATATAAATACATGACAGAGATGATAGATTAGATAGGTAGATGAGAGTTGAGAGATACGTAGATAAATATGAATAGAAATGATTCATGGATATATAGGTAGGTAGACAGACAGACAGATAATACATAGATGATGAACACAGACACAGGTACAAACAGTGAGATAGAATACATATTGATACACAGACACAGACACATAGAAAGATGGTAGAGAGATAGATGATACATAGATGATGATCGATAGTAGATGATAGATTGATAGATGATAGATGATAGACAGACAGACAGACAGACAGTTAGATGGTACACAGAAGATAGACTATGTACAGACAAACACATACAGAAACACAGACAAACACCAAACAGATGAGAGATGAAGCAGGGCACTACGTGGATGGCAGGCAGACGGCTGACGGGCAGGGACAGAGTTTACAGGGTCTTTTACCTTCAGAGTGTCTCCTTCAAAGAGCTGAAAGCTCCGTGCTCTGAGATGGATCCCCTTGCCAGCTTCCGTTTCTATTTTATAGATACACTCGTGGTTACTGTCATAATTAGACGGGAAATTTGGAGACAGTAATGTTCCTTCATTTCCTTTGACACTGGCTCCACACTCAGCTAAAATAAATGAGGATTAGAAAAGAGGATTCAGAAGCAGGACTAGTGATTAAATTAACTACTAACTCCATCAGAATGACCACCCACCTCTGTCAATGCGCCTGCTCCTCATGTATGCTTTCTAGAGTAGACTAGTGATATTTTTATTCTCTTAAAACTGGACAGGAAGCAGATCCATTTACCCATTTTCAGAATTTTATTATTTCACAGCATGACTCTTACAAAAACTGCCTGCTGCCAGATGAGAGTTCTAGAAAAACAGCATGCTCCAAGCACCCTGGGCCCATCATCAAGCAGTCACCTTGCCGCACATCCCTTCTCCCTCACCACAGCCGAGGACAAGTCCTAGTGCCTAGTTCACCGCTATGTTCATATGATTTTCCTGTACTTAGTTTTTGTTGTATCAAACAAGGTATATTTATGGGGAGTCTAAGGATGGACGAAGCCACGGAGTGACCTCCCAGGGCACAGCGCCGAACACACATTCCACCTGGGGATGGAAAGAGCCATCAATGGTGGGCAATAGATTTCTCAAACTTTTGCTTGGGAAAGAAAAGGGTTACCGACCAAATGCACCAAGTGTGCATGAAAAGGTGACAGTGAAGGCCGCCTTACTGTCCGATAGCCCAGAGGGAGCCACCAAAGTCACAGCACGTGTCATCTGTGAGGGTGGATTTCAGCTAAGAGAGTCAACTCTAGAACTCTGTGGGAAGAGTGGTGACGAAAGAGCAAAGTTACTGCACACAGAGACGTGAACATGATGAACACACAGACACACACCGAGACATACACAGACACACAGACACACACAGACAGACACACAGACACACACAGACAGACACACAGACACACACACCGAGACACACACAGGCACACAGACACACACACCGAGACATACACAGACACACACCGAGCCACACACAGACACACAGACACACCCACCGAGACATACACAGACACACACCGAGCCACACACAGACACACAGACACACCCACCGAGACATACACAGACACACACCGAGCCACACACAGACACACAGACACACCCACCGAGACATACACAGACACACACCGAGCCACACACAGACACACAGACACACCCACCGAGACATACACAGACACACACCGAGCCACACACAGACACACAGACACACCCACCGAGACACACACAGACACACAGACACACACACCGAGACATACATAGACACACAGATACACACAGACACACACAGACACACAGACACACACACCGAGACACATACAGACACACACACACACACAGAGACACACAGACACTCATACACACACAGACACACAGATACACACACAGGCACACATACACACACAGACACACATATACACACACACACACACAAACACTCACACATAGGCACACACACACACACCATTTCTACATGGACAGTGCTGTCTCTGGGCTTACAGGCACCCATATCACCAGCCACTGGGACTGGATTATGAAGAAACTTTGTTCCTTGTTCTAATGGAGAGCATGATGAGTTCCCTGGTCCCCACACCCTCCACACTACAAGGTTGACTTAAAAAATTAGTTTTCTTGTTTTGTTTGGTTTTTATTTTCTTGTCCATGACAAACTTCACAATGAGAGAATTTGCCAGACTCAGAGGCGTTGACGCTTAGTAGACGTGACCTGTCATAGGTGGGGATGTGACCCTGTGACAGGCTCTCATGCCACACAGTTCTCTGAGTTCTGTACATAGGCTGACTAACACGATGGTCCCATGTGAAGTTAAATAACCTCATGGGTAGGTAAGGAAGCTAGGCAAAGGGTAACTTATAGCCAAGGGCCTTTCCCACGGCTGTACAACTGACATGCATTAATTACAGATTTTCTATAAACCGGAAGAATGTGGAATTTAGTTAAAAGGGGCAATTTTAAGTCTTTATTGCACTTAGATTTGGGGACAATGTTCTAAGTATGTGTGTAACTGATGGAGGTGATTCAGTGCAAGACTGAACTATGTCAAAATGACAACCACACAGTTTAACTGCTCACCTATAATCACTAGTGCTGTGTAGACAGTGTTTTGTCGGCTTGTAACTGCCAACACTCTGGAGACAGTTTCGTTCCAGCTGATAGAGAGATAAGACTGACTCAGCCAGCTGGCCTCTGAGCCCTCCACCACATCTTACTTCCTGCTCAGTGGAGAGCTGAGATGCTATTTCCTGTTATCCCAGATACAGGAGGAACTTCTCAGTCACTATCCCCTGTGCCCATCACTGAACTCACTTATGGTAAAGACTCAAATCAACAGGCAGAAGTCAACTGCCTCTGATGGAGCAGTGTGGGCCGTGCCTCAGTGTAGACTGAAGCCAACACGTAGAGCTGGGGCTGCCTCTGATGGAGCAGTGTGGGCCATGCCTCAGTACTTGCTTCTTCAAGTTTTGAAGAGTCACCTTGTTTCAGTTCTCACTGGCTTTGAGCACTTGAGGTTTCTGCCTCATCCTATGCAAAGTCTGCAACAAGAGGCTATTCTAAGGACCTGACACTGTTGCTCCCTGCAGCATCCAGGGAGTCTCACAATGTTCTCCCCTCCCAGGGTCACCTCGCCAAAACCACTGGAAGAATGGACCAGGGGGATAGAGGGAGGACACGGCTACAGGTTCAGGCTGTTTATGTGGACAGATAGAGAGAGGACACAGCTACAGGTTCAGGCTGTTTATGTGGACAGAAAATGCTGGACAAAGCATCACCTCAGGCGAACACAGAGACTAAGAAACAGATGTGACTGGACAGACCATGAGTTTCATGAAGCTGTGGAGGGACATCAGTCAGAGTGTGCCCTAGACAGAAGGATGCTTGAAAATGAAAAATAGTCTAAATGAAAATACCTGTATCTTAAGACCGTAATGGACAATGCCAAGGTGGTGAAGAGGGAACTGACTCACATTCCACATTACAGGAAAACCTTTGAAGCTTCGAAACTTGCCACAGTGCTTGATGGCTTCCCAGAACTTGAAGGTAAGACCCTATTTCCAAAGGCAGGCCACCATTGGACACAGGACTTGGAGCAATGGAGCTGGAACTGACCTGGAGGCCTCCTCTCTGAAGACTAGCTCTCATAGTTTTAGAGGATACTATGCAAACTGCTAAGGGAGAAAATCAATCAGTTGTCCAACTGCAGCTTTTAATCCTAATAACCACAACAACGACCAGCACAGCAAACTATATTGATGCAGTCGTGGCACTTTTATCTTGGGAATAATCAGCAGCTACATAATTGGAAGGGAACTCGTGTGTGATACTGCAAACTTAGCCAAATATATACGGCTGGAGAGGTCATAGATCCTAGAGAAAACCCTACATCTGACACATTCCTAGACAAACTTAATTTCTTACTGTATGGTAAATATGGATCCTTATATTTACAGTCAAGTATATCTCTCACCAGTTATCAAAAAAGCTCCTTTTTGAAACGGTGACTATTACGGAGTTTCACAACTGGTCACACACAGAGAATAAGTGCCTGTGAGATGTCCAACCCTAAGTGGTATATCTACAATGGAAGATCTACACCTAAGTGTCATGGAACATAGTGGAACAGGGGTAGAGAGAACAATGTGTTACTCAACTTTCATCAGCAAAGTAAGTTTCCTCCTGCAACAGAGGGCGATGTACACAGAAGGCCACAACCGGCCAAAGCGTAGAGAATAAGAGCCTGGAGACTGCATGTCCCAGGAGAGGAGTCCTGTGTTAAGCCTCACCCACCCATGGCTCAGGGACCATTGCGGAAGAAGGGGAAGAAAGATGGTAAAAGCCAGGGGTGGTGGATGACCACAAGGAAACGGAGTTTTCCAGGTTATGAACTTACAGTCGTGGTGACAGCACGCACAAGACCCATGAAAACGCGATCAGACAAAACCCATCATAGAACTGGGGAAACGGGCAGCAGGCCCCAACCTCGGCTGAGGAGCTGTTGGCAGCTGATCACTGCTGGCTGAGGAAGAGTTGGTCCTCTTTAAGGAAGTGATGATAGATAGGCTGATGAGGCTCTAGTGGATGAACTTACACCAAAGGACCTCTGGGCACACAAACTTGACATGATAGACCTCAGCATGTACAACAAAGCACATGAAATCCAGTGGGGACACCAAGGAGCGGGGGTTGAAATGTGATTAAGATGTTTCATATGAAATGCACAAAAATTCAATAAAAATTATATATTGAAACAATAGGACAAATACGTAGTATAAATTTCCCATTTAAATGCAGACACTTATTTTCATATTGGCTTACGTGTCAGGTAAAGAAATATATTTTGGATATATTATTAGATAAGCATAACTCCTCAGGTCGATAACAACACTAAATTCTTCCTACAGATGAGGAAACGGAAGCATATTTGTGAACTAACATGGTCAGTCACCAAGGTAGGGGCGCAGAGCCTCCATAGAGCTCCCACAGCCTGTGTCAGTATGAACATTATCTACCTTATTGCTGTGACTGTTAGTTCTATTTGCAGATAGGAAACTACTGATGGGGCTGTTTGGCTGTGACCCAAGTCAACCTGCCGCTGCAGAAAGGAAGAGCAGAAGGGGTTCTGCAGCAGGAAGATGTCTACAGGCTCCCTTGAGGGGATCAGGGGAGGAGAGCATTGGCATATATTTGGAGAAGCAAATCTCATGAGTTTTGTTATCAAATTAAGTCTATCAGAATGCAAAAAAATTGGACACAACACAACATCCAAATGAAAACTGAAACGTGGAGAAGCCTGTTGAGAGTCATTGACACCCAGGGGTAGTTGGGTCGCAAATCTCATGAGTTTTGTTATCAAATTAAGTCTATCAGAATGCAAAAAATTGGACACAACACAACATCCAAATGAAAACTGAAACATGGAGAAGCCTGTTGAGGGTCATTGACACCCAGGGGTAGTGGGGTCACCACAGGAAACAAGACACGCACGTTGAAAAGCCAGTACTCAGAAAATTACCAAATTTAAGTGATCACTGTCAAATGTTGTGTGAACTTGGTCCAAGGAATCCACTGTGAGCCTTCATTACCACAGCAATTAAATGGTTCACTTTTTAAGTCTTTTAAAGTTCTTTCAATAACCCATTTAATATTACCCTAAAGTGTTGAATATAATATTCCTTACTACAAATTGCTTGCTTTTTTATAGAGTCTACCTAAATTATAATTGAAAGTGAGTTATTGAGAGTTTCACAATGGAACTAAACTAATTAAAATCAAATTAAGTGTAATGGGAGAGGGTCAGCTGATTCTCCTGATAGTTCACCTTGTGAAGCCAAGTGTCCTTTTTGGAGGGAGCAGGGCTGCTGCAGCAGATCCTACCTGCAAGTTTGGGCATTAACACCCACAGACTCACAGTGCCCCAAAGCAGGCTGGAAGCCCAACGCCCACACAATAACCACGCGCGATTATGAATTAACAAATAGTAAATATTAAGAAGGTTACTTTGTAGAGATGCTAATTTACTACTTATTTGGACATACAAAATACAACCTGCAGTTCTGCCTGTTTGATGCGTGCACTGAACTCAGCTCTAATGCCTCAGGATCTTGTTCAGCTCCTGTGATACAGGAAGGCTTCAGTGTCACTGAGATTTGGGGATGTGACCAATGGAAGAAAGCATAGCTGCAATTATCGAAATTTTGTGGAAATTACTAATGGGCCCGTGAGACTGTGTGAAATGGATAATACTATTAATTCACCTTAATTTACATAGACTTGGGCTTCCAAAGCAGAACCTAGAGCATAAAAGTAGAAAACAGGTCAAGAAACAGAGCAAGAAAAAAAGAAAATCTCCTTTTCTTCTGCCCTGAGGAAACCCTGTATTTAGGTGCCCACTATTGCCCAGAACAGAGGGAGTATGTGAGAGCTGAGATGCAAGCAACAGTCTGCAACTCCAGCTCCAGGGGAGTGGATGACCTCTTCTGATGCCACATGCAGTACAGAACACGGTATAATCACACACACGCAGGCAATGCACTCATACACATAAAATAAGAATGATAAATAAAATGAAATCTTTAAAAAGAGAAAGAATCAGTCAAAACTTTAACTTTCAGTTTGCATTAAAACACAGACAACTGGGGCTAGAGTGATGGTTCAGCAATTAAGAACACTGGCTGCTCTTGCAGAGGACCCGGGTGTGATTCCCAGAACCCGTATGGCAGCTAACAACCATCCATAACTTTGGTTCTGGGGGATCTGATGCCCTCTTCTGACCTCCGCAGTCATTGCATGACATGGGTTCACTTGCATACATGCAGGCCATACACTCATACAAATAAATAAGTAAATAAAATTTTAAAATAATTTAATATAGAAACTGTCAAGCAAGGGGCTGGACAGATGTCTCAGCAGTTAAGGGTTCTTACTGCTCTTGCAGAGGACCACAGTTCAGTTTCCAGCACCCATGTTGTATAGCTCACAGCTGCCTGTATCTCCCACTCCAGGGTTTTGGACACGCTTTCCTGGCCTCCAAAGGTAACCATGTGACTATGAACATATACACACAGAGGCACACATAAATAAAAAATAGGAAGACTAAATCTTTTAAAAAGTTGTAAACCAAGAGTTAATGAAATATATAGAATTACAGACTCCTGGGCTGAAGATGTCTAAAAAAAATAAGTAGAATAATTTTTTAATTTAATGTTAAAAGAAAATTGAAGTAAGTGAAAATCCAGGCAGAATACTTTGCTTGTTGTGCCTGTCTGAGTCATTCATGTCCCCACCGAACATTTGGGAATCACACTCATGCGTTTTACTGATACAGAAACCGGCCTCTTGTCCAGAAAGTGGAGGTGGACGCAGCTTTTAAAGTAAGGGTATGCCTCTTACATCTAATCATTTCAAAGATTCCTTCACCATGCTCTATTTAGTATGTGTCTGGTGGAAATATTCAGCCTACAGTCACTGGGGTGGAACTCTAACTTCTGGCCAGGGACCCACCACTTTTACTTTCATACTTTTAAGGGAAAGAACAGAGACTATTCTTGGATCAAAGTTTCTGGATCAAAGGAACGGCTTCTAAGGATGTCCTTCACGTCCATCTGATGAAGAGTTAGCTCCTGGGGTAAGAGTACCACGGGGCAGGAGCTGTGGGACCAAGGCGTAATGATGCATCCGAAGAGGCTTGTGGTCCACGGCAGCTGCCAGGGAAGAGCTGATGGTGAATCCAGGGTATGTAAGAGCCTTCAGAGGGGAGAGAACAGAAAGAGCCAATCTGACATGGCAGGGCAAGCCTTCCTCATGGGGTGGGAAGACAGGCCAGGAGTAAGAACAGAGCACTGAGCACTGAAAGCCTCTCTCAGTTCAGGCAAAGGTGTGTCAATCACGATGGAGGGCAATGCCTGGCAGGGATGGAGGGACGTGGCTTCACAGATTGCTGTTTGCTTCCCAGGGCTGTCAGATCAGTCCCAGGGGCAGACAATTCCTGCCTTGTAATTCCATGAACTCTGGGATCTCGTGCAGAGACTCTCTGTCCTAGTCCTCTTGTGCCTAGGATAGAACTGGCACTGCCCAGCTTCCTTCACGAACGGTGACAAAAGAAACACGTCATAAGCAAAACTCGTAGCACTTCCTGCTTCCAGTGAGGAAGTAACAGTATTTAATATTGAAAACAGCAGTGTAAGCACCTGGCTATGGAGGAAAACAGTAATGATACCTAAGGAAGATAAGCTGGGCTCACAAAAGCCTGCCAGCCCCTCTAGAACTGAGGACCATCTGGGGAGGTGCTTGATTTTATCAGACGAGTCTTTCAGTAATATTAAACTGTCACTTTCAAGAATTCTGAACATGGAGGACAGGTGTCAGCAAGTTCTGGAAATTCCTCAGGCCATAAACAGAATCAGCGAGAGGCAGTCTGTGACCTTTGCGTTTGGTTCTCAGGTCTCATGATGAGAACCTGGAAGGGAAGGTGGCACTTCTGACTTAATCTTGTCCACAGTGAGTGAGACATTGACACTCTATGGCTCCTAGAAAACCAGGAAGCCAGCGCTGACCTATGGACCCCACTGCTTTCCTAAGTAGCACCAAGAGCAGAAAAGAGGCAGAGCTATGGAGACACCCAGCCATGTTGGACTAACCTTCCAGAATTTTCTACAGGCATTCAGTCACTTGCAGGGCTTCCTTACCTGCCCCTGGTTGTGAGCTGGGGTTGGAGTGACCCATTGCCCACTCCCTGTGGACAAGGAAGTCTTGGGGGAAGCACTGCTAATCTCTTACGTTTTTTGATTTGCTGTTTAAATTAAAATAACTGTTGTAAGCAGACCTGCGCCTGGGCTCCTGGCTGAGCAGCGAGGGCCGGGGCTAAAGGAAGGCCTTGGGCTGCACAGGAGGTGTTGTGAAGCCAGGCTGTGATGGTCACTCTTCTCTGCCAGATTCTCAGAGAAGCACAGTGTCCTGTAAGGGCTCAGCGTCACCTTCCTGAACCAGAGCGCGTCCACCAGCGAGGGCCAAGGGCCTCCTTGCTGCACCAAAATGAGAACAGCTGTGTGTCTGTGGAACAGAGGAACGGCCTGCCTTCCCCGAACACCAGAGCACTCTGGTCATTGGTGATGCTACCTCACCGATGGGTTGCAGAGTTCCAGCTTACAAGAGAGCTGCATGCGCACAACCCGCGCCATCATGGGCCGTGGGGCACGACAGTAGAGCTTGCCTTTCTGGGGCGTGGCATCTACATTTCCCTTTTATTATTTCCCAAATCCTTTACATGACACACATGCGTTTTTCCCTTCAGAGACACCGGACACATACTCTGATCTGCCCTCACAGAACCTTAGAGCTGACAGATACACTTTGCAGATGAGTTAAGTCAGGTTCCACAGGTCAGGCAGATCCTCATCGCTGGCTGCTCCAGTGCCAGCCTCTGGCCCTCTCACCCAGGCCTCACTCTGCCTCCTGACCAACCACCCTGCCCCATGGATGAATGAAATGAAAGCTTGTGGCCACCTACCCACACACCTTGGCAGAGGTGCACTCCACACTCGGCGGCCCCCACCCAGGCAGGTTAGCTTGGTTGCACCTTCTAGGCGGTATCCTGGGAAGCAGGAAAATGCCAGCGTGTCACCCACACCGAACTGGAACCCGATTCTACGGCTGAAGGCGGGGACTCCGGGGTCATCACAGGGCTCCAAATCATATTCTGAGAATAAAGAAACAGGTTGAGTATGTGTGACCTGGGAAGCAAGCAACAGAAGTTAGAAAGGACATAGAAAACCCCAACAGCAAAAAC